CCAGTAGTCGTAATAGTTTGGTTAAACGCAGTAGGTATATTTAAAACAAGATTACCCTCCAACTTTTCCCGATCAGATCGGACATGAAAAAATATCTTGCAAAGTCGATAATTTCATTAAAAAAATGTGATCTTTCTTTGATATCACTGACCTTCTGATTCCAACGGTTGTTCTCCATATAACAGTCAAAGAAAAAATATGTACTTTCTTACAAGAAAATAATAATAGATGATAGAGTTTAAAATAAGAAAGAACAGTCGATATGGTAACTACATTTGCTCACAAATCTTAGCAAACCTTTCATTGCTTTGCATCTCTTAGTGTCGGAGATATATCGTGAACAGACCTCAGGGGAGAGCAGGACTACCCTGCAAGAAAAATACACCATCTTTATCAACAACATATATAGCCTCTGTTCACATATTATCATTGATCTAATGCTACATATATTCAATAACTGATAATAAAACATTCAATATTTCTTGTATAATTATTATTTTAGTCGAAGAGAATGAAGAAAATCATCAGAAAAAAGTAAACATGTAGCTAATACAGCGAAGTAGCTTGACAACTTTGCAATATCATTTTTAAACTTTTTCTTTGTCTTAATGTTTAGATAACGTTTCTGTCTCACTCACGAGTTACGATTAACTCCTTTAAGTTAGTTTGCATCTATCTGCATGTCAACGTTAGTAGGTAATGATAGTAGATAATAATCTGCAAGTCGTAGTTAGTAGAAAATGATATGAGGTTAGCATAACACTAAATTTGATGTAATTTAAAATTAAAAAAATTAACACTATCAAAAACCTGTATCTGGCGGCGATACATGAGGTGCTTTTGTGTGCTTCACCAAACGCAAATCACCAAAACTGGTGAGAAGTCCTGGGTTGGCCTGTCGAACACTGATCCCATTGTTTAGAAAGAATTTACTGGAGTTGCCTAAGTTGATCAAATTTCTCCCTCCCTCTCCCCCCAGACGTAATGAACAGTCTCAGTGCATTGTATTTTAACTGTTGAATTCATATTGTTTCTCGTAATAAATGATGATAAAAATAAGAAAAAGGAGAAAAATACGTGGGAAGCTAGCTTTACTTGGTAAGTTCATCAAATATCGTTCAATAAGGCGCGCTTGGGAAACAGGAACCCCTAAACTAACATAGATTTAGGGTTAGAAGACTTAGAAGTTGAGCACATGGAAAACGATACAATAGGTTAATTGTTTTGGAGAACTAGTTCTTTAAGGATCTTTTTCGCTGATAAAAGCTATTCATTTCCCTCCGTCTCTTAGTGTATACTAAAAAAAACCATTCACCTCAGTGTCGGCTACAAGCCACTAGCCACCGACACTGAGGTGATTAGCTGCTAAATAGGATTAACTTGGAAAGGAAGTTTGAGTTTTTAACTTAAAAGTGATTTTGTCATTTTATGGACAGCAGCCAGGAGAAGGGCGTAAAGTATATGTCAATGTAAATACGAACATGGTTCTTCATTATCTGAACACTCTCTAAGTCTTTGCTTAAATAAGCATTAATGCATGGGAATACAAGGGCGCACAATACTCTAACGCCGGCCTAATGCAGGTAAGATACAAACACATAATATCATGAGCCGAAACATTTAGTTGCCCCTTTAGCAATATCAAGAAATGTATGAGCTTATTGGCCCTTTTGATTACATCAGAGACATGACAATTTCATTGAAAGGTATTAGATATGTTTACCCTAATATGTGGTTTGGGCAACAAGTTCAAGTTCCTTGGAGTTGACGGTTACAACGCCGAACTGGTGTCGGTTCTCTTGAAGTCAATAATCAATTCTTTGCATTTATCTGAGTTCAACTGAAGATTTTTGTAAGCAGACCACTGCTCTAATGCTTTTAGAGCGCTTTGGATTGTACTTATACTACCTTTGGAGTGATGAGAGAAAGCAGCATAGAAGATTTTGAGGTAACGCCGAATTGGCTCGGATCGATCTTCTCAGGGTAGCTAGGCCTTCGTAGATACTTGCTCGGCCAGCTTTGACAGACCCAGGGTTACCGAGATTTGTCTTACATGTTTGGTAATAACAGTGGCTAGTTTCTCCTTAGGCAGTGGAACTACGTCAGCACAGCAAGTCGACGGAATTTGCGATCAGCGGATTTTGAGTCCGGTTACGTTGCCCTACTTAATGTTAATATTATACAATCGCTCTCAATTATAATTTTTTAAGCGACTTGAAATAGGCCCATCACGTGCTTTTATGAAATAAGTGTACATCCAATTATAATCCATCAAATAGTTTTTCTCGCGCGCGTTTTGTACAAACGCAACCCCGCTGCAACTTGCATGCGGGATCTCTTTTTGAATACTGTTACATTTAAAGGAGGGCAACATTGATTTTGCAATTTAAAAATAAACTTAATTCTTTTTTTATTATACTCACAGCTCTTCCAAATTAGTAAAATCTTTGAAAACGTGTTTAGGAAGCTTCCTGATTCCGTTGTCTTACAGCCGTCCGATAAAAAAGACAGAATAATACGACAGATAAATGTTTTCATATCTTCCAATTATTATGAGTTTTCGGGGGGTGAGGAATTCGTAGATACCCGGTTTCAGCACCACTGTCGCCTTAAGGCGCATTTAGTGATCTCTTACAAAACCACTTTCCGAAAACTATCCTCCCTGAGGGGAGGGGAGGGGATAAAAGTGTTTGAGCGCCTACGGCATGTTACAATTTAGAATGTTTTAGATAAAACGTTGTTCTTTTTGTCTTCTAAAGTAAACATTTGATTCTTTAAAAGCTGGTAATGTGTTGATGACTCACGCCATGTCGATTATATTATATAAATATGCAAAACTGGCTGAAAGGCACAATTGCTGACGGTATTGCACAGATGTTTGTGACTGTCATCCATGGTGACTTGAAACGAATGGACAGCGCGTTCATAAGAATATTCATCTTTAGGTAATTATCTGGTAAAGCTGTATGCAGACGGCGTTCTGTATTTGAATTCATTGCTATTTAAAGACCGTTCGATCTGAATCGAAGAAAGGGATCAGAGAAAATATTTTTGAGGTATTTATCCTCTTTGTCATTTAAAATGTCTATACAAGGAAAGATAACAATGAAATATCAGTATATTATGACACAAAGTTAACTGTGTTAAGGGCAGTTCTTTAAATCCTACGGGACAGAATGATTCTTATTGTCCATTCTTAAGATCTCTCTCCCAGCTTTATCATATTATTTCTCAATATTCAAACAAGTCGGAAAGGAATTTTTTAATGAGCATTTTTTTATTTAAAGGGATGATAAAGACATCCATAGTTACTCTGCCCTGTCGTCAAATACTGCGCCAAAGTTTCACAGGAGAGAATAGGGGATTTGAAAATTGATCACTGTGTTTTCCCTTATTCCTTTCAGTTCTTATTTAGACTTTCTCCGCTGGGATAATGATAATAATAACATATTCATGTTTTTTTATCCAGTGAATTGTTCACCGCGACACGTTCTTCTGGCGCGCACCGACCGGAAATACAAGAAAGAATTAAAGAAACTTCTGGAAAATATTTCACTGAAGAAAATGTAACTGTGAAGGTAGAAGAGAAGTTAATTTTATAATAATTTTATAATAATTTCTTTACCTCTCTTTTTCGTCAGAGAGAAACAATTTAATATGGTAATAGGAATTGAGGGTCTCAATAATGCGATGGCTTATTCTGACGACCATTGTATTTTTCAGAATAATTTTCATAGTTTATTATTTTTACAACCAACGGTTAAAATTTGTCAATTTTTGCGCCCAACGGTTTAACTATTGGTATTTTACGACAAACGGTCAACCCCATTGGAACCCTCCAAATTGTTCTTATTATCAAATGTACTAAAATGTGATTCAGGGGAGATCCCGCTAAAGTCTTATTCAGGTACAGCAGTTCTTTAAAAAGATAATATTTTTCTTGCTAATTATGATATCGCTGTATCTTGTCGTTTTTAACTGCTCTGTGAGGTCATAAGATTCGGCCCACATACAAGGCGGTTAAACCAGAGGAAGATACATTATCCATAATTTTACGTTATTTAATCAAATTCTTAAACTCAACTCAATCTTCTTAAACTTCCCTCAGCCCATCAGCTGAAAACAGGAAGATGGTGCCCAGAAGGACCTTCTGGGGTTTCATCATTGCTTTCTGTAAGCACCGTTGTCTTTGTTTACGAGAATCTAGTTAAGAGACCAGAAGTCTTATACAGGCCTATTCCAGCGCATCGCAAATCTATATTTTTTGTGTTGCTCAAATAGTTCGAACCTTTTCACCTCCATGGTGTCCAGCGAGAGAGACACGCGGCGGAGAACCCCTGAGGGGATTGCGAAAATCGAGTTACTGCTCTCGGGCAAATTACGAGACGGTTCAGCGTCTCATTTGATTTCAGTTTCTCTCGCGAATTCGATCCTCTTTACTCCCCGAGAGGAGACGACTGTACGCGCCGTGACGGTGAGCCGGGCGTAATTACAAAATTCAATTAGTGTCGGAAAAATTTTCAACGCAAGAAAATACATGCTAATGATTCTCTTCGTTCAAGTTTCAAGTAAAGTGTACATCCAAAACGAGTCATCCGATGAGCTTCGCGGTTCTGTTTTTAATGCACGTTCGCATAGTTTCGTCACTTACGTTCTATAACGAAATAATCTATCAAAAAGGCGATTAAAATACCTCATTAATCAAATCTTTACGCCAAACTGAGACATCGAAAGAAAAATTCGAATGCGAATCTTACGCGTATCTTTTTCTTACTAGTTTTCATAGACATAACAAATCCCCACCTTATTTGACACATATGCCGTGGCTTTCGATCAAAACGTCGTATCGAGTTTGGCTTTCCGTTGTGGCTATATGAAAGTCGCTTCCATTTGAGATACTATCTCTAAATAGCTTTGTTGAAATTGAAATATCTCAAAACCTAGGCGAGGAGCCGCCATCTTTGTCCCTTCTTTTTTTCTTTATTTTACTTGCAGTTTTGTTAATACTGGAAGTACACCTTCAGAGAGCTGTCCCACGGTTTCACTCAAGTATACTATTACAAGTTCCAAAAGGACATTACGTGGAACTGAATTTCACCATGGAGAGTTCATCTCTAACACCCTGCATTTATGATGAGTACATGGAGGTTCGTGATGGATACAACGAGTCTGCCAATCTTCTTGGTGTATTTTGTGGAAGGAACATTTCTGTCATTGTGCGATCCAGTGGACATAACTTATGGATCAGAAAATCAGCCTATTATTTTAGGTTTCGGGGCTCGTACACCAACAAAAGACTCAACTTTACAGGTATTGTCCTCTGAAATTACTAACTGAAACAATTCTGACATGTTTCAAAGTTGTCGTAACACGGAAGGAATAGATGAAGTACTCCAACTCATTTGGTAATTTCATTTATTTGTTTTCTTCCAGTTGAACCCAACTTAGACAAGGTGGCCAAAGCTCAATTTGTTCTTTTCAACCAAACTTCATCTCTTTGGTGTCCAGCACAAGGTGCACCGGCACCATTTATAGTTTGGAGAAAGAACGGCATTATGGTACAGAACAGTACAAGTGTAAAATACCAGTTGACCGTCACTGAAGAAAACAATGACAAGTACAGCTGTGAAGTGAAGAAAGAGAATGGTTTTGACAAGAAAGAAATCCGTCTTGTCATTGAAAGTGAGTTTTTTCACAAAAAAATTAAGTGGGGTAAGTTTTTAAAGAAACTGTGGTGCCTCTTCGGTGGGGAGTATTACAAGATGATTTGGTTTTGCTCTTCGCAGAGCGAAACATTTCTCCCTGACGAAGGGCTAACCCTCCAAACGTCAGCTTTAGAAAATCTTTACGGTGGCAAATTTTCATTGTAAACTCAGTTGAAAAAAACTAAACTATTAATTTACAAACATTAATTCTCAAGTCAGTCTGGCGTAGAGGAAAATATAATGCGCATTTGCAAAGTTTGCCGAATTGCAAATAAAATGAGCAACTCTTAACGCTCCCTAAACTTTTAAGCTGAAAGACTGACGCAATAGTTTTACAATAGTTTTATTGACCAGGAGCCAATGTATAGTATGAAGCGTTCACGAGATAACTAGATGGCAGCTATCATTTCAGAGTACTCCATTGCACACACTCAGAGAGTACAACCAAAGAGCCTCACAACAAACAAACTTTAGTACATTCATATCGTCTTGCTTTATTCAAGGGTGCCCAGATCCCTGTCGATGTAAAATTGCAGTTGGAATCATGGACGCAGCTACTCGTGTTGAATGTAGAGAAAAACACTTACAGGCAGTTCCACGGCACTTGCCCTTTTCTACAGCGAAATTGTAAGCGTTTCAACTCTTCTCCTTTTGGGCTTTTGGGGGGGGGGGGTGGCCGTAGTAGGCCTGGCATCAAACTTAGTCTCAGAATTCTAAGAAAAACCAGGAAGAATCTAACATACGTTTTTGGAAAAAAGGTTCTCTTCTAATACCTCTAACGGGGACAATAACCGTTAAAGGAGTTAATATTTTCTTCAGGCGGGGGTGAGGGGGGATGGGAAATAATCAAAAGCAATGCAGAAGACGTAAGCTGTCCAATCTAACTCAAAAAATATCCTCATTTTAAAGACTTAGAAAAAAAACCAAATAGAGAAGCCACCACCTGAAGACTTAACAACTCGCCCTTGGTCGTACTGTAATGTTATACTTTTGTTGCTATTGGCGCTTGATGTGCTAAGAGTTAGCACTGTTCACCGATAAAGGGGTGATATTGTCTCGTGTGATGGTTTGAAATAGTTTCAATACTTTCAGGTGGTTAGAAAATAACAAGATCAATAAGCTGCGAGGTGACTCATTTTCTCAGTTAGTCAGGCTGCGAGAGCTGTAAGTGAAATGTAGAATTCTTATATCGGTCATTTTACATGCTTAGGTTTACGATGTGGAATCCATCCCGCAGACACTAAGACACTTCCATATCCGCATTGCACACAAACCAATCACAGCGGAGCCATATTGTCAACTACTTACTCAGTCAGTCAGCTTCTCTCACAAAAAATTAGTTAAAGTAATTTTCTTAGCATCTTTTATGCTGCAAACTGATTAATTGATTGATGTACAAGTTCTCTTCGAAAAGTTCTGAAGGAACAAAATAAATCTAAGGCAAAATACCTGAAAAATAAAGATAAAATTGGAAAAATATGGCAGAAATACCAAAGGAAACGTTGAAAAATCAGTTTAAATTATATGTGAATCTTGTCGTAGAATCTTACATGGAAACCAGATAGAGAGGCTACCGGTGCAAGTCTTCAAAAACAACTCCGAGTTGACCTTCTTGTAATTAACCACTAAACATTAAATGTATTACTGGTTTGGTCTCGATTCAACCGCCATTTGCGTAGAGTTATGCCATTTACTAACTTTGTGAGGAAAGGTTATTTATCTAATAAATCATTTTTTCAGTTTCATAAAAGATTGAACAGGTTACGTTTATTTTGACCCGCCATCGTAATATGCCCAGAGTTTCGTTAATCTCTAATGTTAAATTTTGTAAGTAACCGACTAGTGAGTTCTTTTCTGATACGTGGACATTATCATATTATGTGCATATTGACCTGTCCTATGCTCAGACACTCTTAGTTCTTGGTAAAGCGCCTTGGTAACTAGCCCTTGAATTTAGTCAACAACACTACTTCCCGCAAGCTCAAGCATGAAGCGCACTCCCTTGAATTACATATATGTTGAGTTATTTCCAATTAAGTACATTCTGTAGCTCCAAATCCCTGTGATCTTCCGGGCTCCGTTTTCCGATCCAGTTATTTTCAGCAAAAACCTTATTACAGGCTGCTTCATCAATAAACATGTTCAACGACACCCATTGTAAAGCGACTAAAACAGAACCCTTGATTTATCAATTTGGTTCTGCTTATATTTATGCAAATGTGGTCAGAATATCTTGATCCACTAAATGTGGGCAAACATTTATTCAAGTTCCGTGATTATTGTCGACCATATGACAGTTAAACTCAAACGCGGAGCTGTCTATTGAAGTAGATATTCAAATATTTATTATCATACCAGTAACCGTCAGCAAAAACGTGTTTACGGGCAGTGTTGTAAATAACATCCAATGCATGTTCCACCAAATACTTTTAAACGATTAATACGGATTCCATCACAGGAATAAAAAATTGAAGTACAAATACAAATCCAATATCCCAGCTCACAATTGAACAAATCCTGGTTTCAATCTCATTTCCAAAGTTATCAATCCTGTTACATTCACAAATTGTTTAAAAGGAAAAAATTATCTTTCCTTTGCCAAATCATGGTCCTGAATTTTACCAGATATCAGAATAGCTTAATTTTTATAGTCCCAGTTATCTGACTGGAAGGCATTTCAAAAATGCCCAACTAAAATCCATCATGTATCCTTTTTGTAGGAGCTTAAGAGGGAACCAGATAGAGGAGCTACCAGCGGGAGTCTTCAGTAACAACAACAAGTTGCTCAACTTGTGAGTAGGAAGACTAAAAGTTCATAGTCGACCTACATATTTTTACTATCATATCCTTCTCCAAATTCTTGTTAATTCTAAAATACTCAAATACTGACGAACGACAACAAGTTGCGTAATAATTTAGTTACTGATGAGTCAAGCCACGATCGTGTTTAGAGAGGAACCTTGCTTTTCAGTTCACCACTGATCCAGAGTACCGCAAGATATGGCGTTTGGGGAAGGTTCCATCAGGTTTATATCTCTCGGCGACGTGAACCAAACAAGTTCAGTGGTCGGTATACCCTTCTTGAGAGGGGTTAGGTTATGTCCAGTTAAATTCCCTCGTGCATTATAGGTATTTAAACACGTTATGCATTCTTTTGTAATCGTATGACGCAGTTTTATTAACAATTACAGATTTTTAGGCCGAAACAAGATCAAAAAGTTGCCTGGTAATTTATTTGCTGAATTGGTAAACCTGCACTGGCTGTAAGTGAAGAGTGGTTGTTTTACGGCATTAACTATTGCGTGATCGTGTCGTGACGAATAAAATTGTCGATAATAGTGTAAAATACAAACCGATTACTGTACAAGGCCCCACAAACACGTAGTAATAGACATGTGCACGGATTGTTCACATGTTCAAATTCTCCGAATGTCGAGGTTTGTGCATCAGCAATATTGGTAGGAACATTATAGACTTATACAGACCCATCACAAGTAAAGAATATCGATGAAGGATCGATGGAGGGGGTAAGTTTCGAAAGAGAGAGACTGTGGTCATTCGCTCTGACGAAGGGCTAACGCGCGAGACGTCAGCTTTGAAACTCTTAACGGTGGCCAATTCGCGTTATCAACTCAGTTGAAAATTACCGAATTACCTTATAAGATATCAACTTTAAAGTGATCCAAATCCTATATCCTAGGTCGCATATTTACCACTTCCCGGTTCCAAATTTTACAATTTAAATCCCATCCCATTCTTATCAATTCCACTCCATCTAAAACATGGTTAGAGAGAATAAACGCTGGAGAGCTCAGAGGGTAAGCTTCGAAAACAAATTTGAATTTAAGAGGTATAGTTATGAGAGCCTTTGCTCCAGTTTGAGGGGTCTTCTCTAAAAGGAGAGGAGTCTGGAAACAAATTTGAAGTTGATTTCCTTCGATAGGCGTATTTTGCAAACATTTTGGGTCTTTCAAAAATTGAGATGTTTTACTACATTTTCGTTTAATCAAGGGACTTCACATCTCTATTCGAATAATGTTTAGACTTATAGCACTATTCTTTACTCAGTCGCGTATCAGCTCATCTCCAAGAATCCTCTCTTCCCGGTTCAAAAATTAATAAATTATACCTCATCCCCGCTCCTCCACTACCTATCTTTTTCTCTTTATGACCTTTCAATATCTCCGTAGCGCATTAAACCGTAAAGCCATCACAAAGTATTAGGACTTCAACTTGTAAAGTGGGTATAAACCTAGCCGCATGCAAAACGGGTTCACAACATCACGTGGTGGAGTGCTTTACGAGTAGTTGTAAATAGGACCTGAAAAAAAATTCAAGCCTTCTTCATTCACTTGGATGTTTATTTGGACCCAATTCATTGACCAGCTCCCAGTTGGCTTGTTAGCTCAATTGGTAGAGCGCTGCACCGGTATCGCAGAGGTCATGGGTTCAAATCCCGTACGGGCCTGAATTTTTTTCAGGCTCGTACTAAACTGAGCCCGTACACTAACTGAATCTGGAAAAATAGGTTAAAACTAACTAAAAATAGACATCAGATTAAGGGTATATCCTTCTCGAAGGTACTTGTATGATAACCAAATCAAAGAGCTGCCACCAGGAGTCTTCGCCATGAATACCAAGTTGACTCGCCTGTAAGTAGGCCATAACAGGTTTATATTAGAAATTATTCAAACTTTATTATTTCAAAAAACTCAGCATTCGAAGAGAAGGTTTTTAATCCCATCACCTCATCAAAAGACTTATTGAATCCATTCGAGTGCAAAGTAATGGTGATGTCGATGCCCATCGACACTTTACTACCTTTGCAGGCCTTCGTGCAGTTCTTGAAGGACTGAACCATCCATTCTCCCATACCATCACTAGCTACGTTATAAGGAGCAAAACCTACGTGCTTGACGCCATTGACTTTCATAGAATGCGAAAATTCCTCGCTTCAAAATTGAGGACCATTGTACAATGCACTG